TTGGCCCACCAACTGAGTAGACAGATGAAGGGTGATCAGTCCTCCCCCTGCTGATAACTCACCTCATCCCCTACTCCACTCCGACCTTTTGCTGCTTACGAGACGAACATCATTACTGAGGTACCACCCCACATCTGGAAGGTCGGTCCAGTCCAAGTCTCCCAGGACCCCATCTTGTCGTAAGTGCCTTCTCACGAATCGTTCCTCCCGAGCGGTGTTTTCTTGGATCCGGCCTCTTCCTTTCAAGAGAGTTGGGGCTCTCTATTAGTCTGCGAGTGCAGTTATGAAGACCTCGCGGTTAGTCCCGGAATGGTTGTAATGATCCGGCAGGGCGGTGTCACTCGCCCTGTGGTGGTTGCGGCTTCCACCCGGTACCACGCCCGATTCCTCCCTCTTGACAGTGCTGCTCAACTTAACGCGAGCAACCGTGGTCCATTCCAAACGGCCGTGTCGCCCCTCTACGGCATGGCATGTGGTTGAGGAGAAAAAAATGAGACTTAGGAAAAAGAATGGCTCTCTCGCCCGTTTGGCACCACTCCCTTGACATTTAGGTTTCAACATGAGGCGCAGTTTGAACTCCCCGACTAGAGCTCGTTGTCGGGGTTAGTTCCGGACGACCAGCATCAATCAAAGAGAGAGGTGCTTTGGTCCTTCAACCCTTATTCCTTCTTATGAGGAGCACGTCGCGCTGAGACTTTCCCCTTAACGGGTAGAGGTATTGGGGTCGCGATGCAGGCATTGTTATCCCCCTTATGTTGAGATCTAGACTAGAAAAAATAAAGCTCAATCTCTTGCTATTTCCATGGTCGACCCGACGACCTTTCATCAAGTTGCCTAGGGTCCGCTGACTATGCAATGCAATATTCAATCTTCAAACACTCAATCCCATGTTATTTCCAAGGCTGATTCTCATGGCTGGTCCGACAGCCTCTCATCAACAAGGCCACCCACATGGCTGGTTTGGCGGTCATTTTCTCAATAGCCATTTTTCAAGACTGCCCCTTCCGCCCATTCACTCCTAAATTTTCTCATTCCTCAGCACCCAATTTCTGTGACCGTCCCAATGGTCCCTTCCCTTCTCGGCTTTAGGGCTCCGCCTTCTTTATCCTGTCCTTCTCATTCATATCTTCCTTCTGCCCCCTTGGCTATTTCAGGGGCCGACCCACCGGCCTTTTCCATCTCTTCCATTCATCCTATTGGCTATTTCAATGACCAACCCACCGACCTTTTCCATTTCTCTCATCTCATTGGCTATTTCAATGACTGACCCACCGACCTTTTCCATCTCTCATTGCTCATTCCAGCACATTCTCAATCAACCTTTCTCAATCAAATATGCAGGGGACCCAGTGCCTATCTCAAAAGGAATGACCCTTGTCAGGGGCCATTCCCGAACAACCTGGTTAGGGTCGTTCTTTTCCATTCTCAAGTCGAACAGCCTGGTTAGGGCCATTCCTTTCCATTCTCAAGTCGAACAGCCTGGTTAGGGTCATTCCTTTCCATTCTCAAGT